GTGAGAAACCATATTTATTTGTTTTAACTTAATCGGGCTCCACACTAAACATATTTTACTATACCAAAATGGATGAACGCCAAGTAATTATACTTAATAATTCCTACTTCACAAATTAAGAGGAAAGACAAATTTTGCTAATTTTCACGTACATAGCCAATTAATTTAAACGATACACAAAAACAACAACAATAAGTTTTCATCCCACTAAGTAGAGTCGACTAAATGAATTCTTTTTTTTAAATGTGAAAAGCCAGGATGAAAAAAAAAATTTATGCCTGAGCTTTCACATAAAAATAATTTTTTTTCAAATGTTAGCTTTTCCTGCCTGGGTGCCTGTAGAATTATCCATAATCTAAAGATAGAAAATTTTCATTCAATCATCTTAGGTTTACTAAGAGGATGCAGTATTACGGCTTATATATTTTCTTCTTGTTACCGTTGCTTTCTCCACTCATCAAGCATGTTTAAAAGGTCTAAATAACTTCAAAAATTTCAGTTTTCAACATATATAACTCGGAATATTCTAATGATTTTTATGATCAATGCAATTATGGTGAGTTAATTGATACGTAAAGTTCGGATCTATTTAGTTTACCAATTTAATAATCATTACAAGGACTTGACCGTTTTAAACCAGTCAACTCTATGTTCTGTCCTCTATTTCTATAGATATAGAACCATAAGGTACCTAATCTGTTAGTTAAAATATTATTTGATCTTTTAATAAACTTGTTTCACCCATCGATAGCCTTTAATTTGACATATAATTTTAAATTTGTTAATTCATTATGCAATGCCATCATAATTTCAACATTTAATAAAATCAGCACAGATAATTTTAAGTAGTTAAATATAAATGACTGCTTGTATTGCAGTGTTTTAAAAAAAAATAAACTCACATATCTGTTCAATTTTGATTCACTGACAATTTAATCCAGTACAATACAAACTTCTTAGCAAGCCAAGTATGAATTGCACATAAACGCCGATGATAGCTTAAGCAATCTTTTTCTTATTGTACTTTTAGGAGATTACAGGTTTGTTTGGGACAACTTTTTGCCTATTTTATTTTTCAGATCTTCACTACTGTTTTGCTTGAAAAATACTTTTTTAATGTTTTTAAAAAATTTGTGTGGTAAAAAGCCTATTTTTTTTAACCTGCTCTGTTAAAGTGTGGTGACTGTAAAAAAAGTGACGGCCTAGTTTTATAATAATCAACAAAAATTTTTGAAAAAATAATTTATTTTGTAACAGCTTCACAACTGTAGCTTCAAAAAACTATAACTGCCACAATTCGACCCCAAGACAAGTGATAAACTAACGGTGTGTTTCCTCATCCAAATTTAACACAAAATTTCTCAAGTTAAAAGGTTGCCAACCCATAATTAGCATGATTTTGATCAATAGAAATTTTAATCTATATTATTTGTATTGAAAAAAAAAACTCTTAAATAATAATAATAATAAAGCTAAAAGACTTAGAAGTAGAGCAGTGCTTTCCGATCTGTAAAATAAAAAAAAAAAATTAGTTTAACATGCATTTATTTGTCATTAGACATAAGAGAAGCCTCTAATTAGATGAGATTAATGGCTAATCTCATATATTTAATATGTTTTGATATTTTTAAAATATATTGACTCCAAACGACGAAATTTATATTTGTATTTATATTAAAAATGTAATCGTCACTAAGTAGCTCTCCCCCAAGCTCTAATTTTGAAATTGAGATGGGGAAAAGTGTAATAAAAACAGAACTTAAAAAACGTATACTCCTAATAAAAGCATAAAAAATGCTCCTCTTCCGTCTCTTTCATCACCTTCGCCTTGCTTCTGCCCTGTCGCGCTCCTATATTTGTTTGAAGCCGCAGAGATTGCCGCAGAGAAGAAGAAGTCTGAGGAAGGAGAAGCAGAAGAACAATAACGTAAGCACCTTTCCCCTTTCCTATTTCCCCAATAATCAAATCCTCTGTTTTTCCTTTATTCGCCATGAAAAAAGGATCCCACCATCACAGAGCGTTGGTTCTTGAGATCAAGTAAAAGAGAACAAAAATGCTGTCTTTTTCTCCACCTTCCTGGTCTTTCCCATGCAAAGAATTTCTTTTTCTTTTATATACTTTTGAAAGTGAAGGTTTTGAAAACAGCAGCACTCCTCTTCATTCCTTCCATACATACCAACGTTGCCAAGCTCTGAGTTTTCTTCTTTTTATTTCACCCCATTCTCTGTCGCTTCTATTGAATTTTTAGAGAAGAGCGGAATATTTGGAAATATGAGCTGTTTCCTATTTGTAACTCTTTTCGAAGCATTTTCTTTATCCTTCTTTCGTGTGTTTTCACGGGTCACAACTCACAGGTAAGGAGCTGTTTAGAACCCTATTATATTCCTCTTATCCTTGTTTCTTTCCCGGGACAACCCTTTTGTCTTGTTTTGCTCTTCTTCACGAGGAGATAACGGGTTTGATTTCAAAAAGATCCCTCTTTTACGTCTTTCCTTTGTTAATTTTGGTTAGCTTGCTTCATTTTGAAGTTTTATATGGTAAAAAAGATTCTTTTACTTCACTATTGGTTGAATTGCTCAGATAGGTTCTGATTCACTTTCCTCCTCCCTCTCCTGTTTCATCCCTATAGTTCCTTTCACTTCTGAGATGGGCCGAGCTACAAAATGGCTGAGGAATTTATTTGGCGGTAAGAAGGATGGCGCAGCCATTGCGGTTACCAGTGATACAAGGGTAAAAAGAAGGTGGAGCTTCAAGTCTCCGAGGGATTCCTGTGAACCCGCACAGGCTAATGTGGCATGGCTGAGATCATTTTATGCTGAGACAGAGAAAGAGCAGAACAAGCAGGCCATTGCAGTGGCAGCCGCCACCGCGGCAGCAGCGGATGGCTGCGCAGGCAGCCGTTGCCGTGGTGCATCTCACCAGCCATAGCCGGTGCTCAAAGCTTGGGGGTTTCCATGAATGGCTGGCTGCTCTCAAGATACAAAGGGTGTTCAGAGGTTATCTAGTAAGTTCAATTTCAAAATTCCAGTTTTCAAATGCCAATTCAAATCCATGACAAGATTTGATTTTTACATTAAGGCTACTATATTAATGCATTCTTTGGCATTATTATCCTACTTTGGAAAAAAAAATTTGTATTTATTTGTCATTTTATTTACATTAAATGTTCGCTGAATATCTCTTTTCAATGGTCCAAAGATTTTGAAATAATTATTCTTGAAAAAGTATTTTTTTTGTGGAAAATTAAATCTTTAGTTGTCTGTGCTCCTGTGTTTCTTATTCCTTGGCGCTGTTGCAAATAGTGAAGCCACTGATTGCATCTTTTCATCTCCATCCTGTTGTAAATGGAATCTTATCTATTTTTAGCCCTCTGTTTTCTTTACAGGCAAAGGCAGATTTTTTTTTTTTTTATCTGTAGACAGTTCTTTCTATTCAGAAGATAATTATTTATTACTTTTCTTACAGTTATTTTCTAGCAAATAGATTGCAATATGATGAAAATTAAATTGCCATGTAGTTAACGATGAATTGTTCTGTATAAATAATACTGCTTATTTTTGCAGGCAAAAAAAGCTCTGAGAGCTCTCAAAGCTCTTGTTAAGCTCCAGGCTTTAGTTAGAGGATATCTGGTTAGAAAGCAAGCAGCAGCAACTTTTCACAGCATGCAGGCTCTAATCAAAGCCCAGGAAACCATCAGAGCACAAAAATACAAGGCTTTTCTCTCCTCTGAAAACAAAATTCATCAGGAAGAAATTCAACGCCTCTCACTGGTATGATTTATATTTCTGTTAAATAATCCAAGTTCCACATGCTCTTGTTCACCTATATGATTATTTTCAGGAACCATCCTTTTTTCTCCACCCCAAACTCTCGGTGGGGATCGAAACCCAAACTTGTGCCTCTGATGGCAGCCCGAAGGTCGTTCAAGTTGACTCACTCCGCCCAAAGTCGAGATCATCTCGAAGATCAAGTTATCTTACAATTGACCATTCTGATGAAATCTCCCCCAATTCCATCTCATCTCCTCTTCCTACCATCAAAAGAATGCCGATGCCCGATTGTCGATTATCATTCGAGAAATGTCGGTATTCCTCAACAGCACACAACACGCCACGTTGCGTCGCGCCATCCACACCTACAAAGAACTTGTATGCGGTAACAGAAGGCGACTTTCGTAGGAGATTGATTAATTCTATCAATTGTCCAAATTACATGAGCAACACACAATGTTTTGAGGCGAAAGTGAGGTCCCAAAGCACACCAAAGCAGAGACCAGAGCTCTTGGGTTCGAGCAAACGTCTTCCGCTTAGCGAAATAGTGATTGAGCACTCGAGGCCGAGCCTGAGCAGTGTTAGAATGAGGAAGGCCGAGGAGGAGTTCAGCTTCAAGAAGGCTGTGGTGGGAAGACTCGATAGGTCTTTGGAGTTGAGCAGGGGGGAGAGAAAAGGATCGAATTAAGCTACCAATGAAGTTCAATTTGAATAATTTGCTCTAGTTTTGTCATGATTTTTTTTTTCTATTTTGTTTTCTGTTTCTCCGCTGATTGTTGCAATTATAGTGGAAGAATGAAGTTTTTTGTAAATTTGTTGATGGCATGAGATTTAGAGAAGTTTGTTAGGTTAGGGGCCTTTTTGTAATTTAGAAAAGACTAGACGTTAAATAGCAAAATATAAGGAAATTTATTAAGAAAGTAAAAAATGGTACCGAATACTAAGCAACGTCCTATCGATTGGATGTCGTAGATTTCGGGGGTACTCCAGATCCGCTGCTTGGGGATGCTTGCTTGCTTGCATGAATAAGGGCGAACCAAGCTGAGGTAATACGGGCATATTACTGTGTTTGGCAGTGCTACCGATATGGTGTGTGCTGTTTTTACTTGCTATTTTATCTTGTTCAGCGAAATCCTTGCTCTTGCATTTGAATAAGATGATAATCTTTTATCTATATTTTTAAATTATATATATATTTTTTTAAAATTTTTATTTCTTAATCTTGACTATCTTACAAAAAGTGTGTAAAGAAGAGGAAAATTTGAAAGTCTACGAAAAGATGGTGATATTTCCAATATTAGTTAGGGCTTGGACTCGAACGATTGTCGTAAGGATGTTGGTGGTAATTTTGCTTTTTTTTTTAGGAATTTCTTCATAAAAATTAAAGGGTACAAAAAGATGGTGATATTTCTAATATTAGTTGGGGCTTGGACTCGAACGATTGTCATAAGGATGTTGGTGGTAATTTTTCTTTTTTTTTTTAGGAATTTCTTCATAAAAATTAAAGGGGAGATGGAGTGGAGAGGGAGGATAGAAGAGATTGGAGTTCATAGGAAAGAAGAAATAAGGGGGCGTTAGAGATCAAAACAACAATTTTGAATTCGGAACTTGAAAGGATTCTCAGTCCATATAAAAAGTATAAATAATAATAATAACATAAGAATATCAAATTTATTTCAATTTCATCTTAAAAAAAGTAAAATAATAAATAATCTAAAAAAAAATAAATGTATTTACAAAGGACTTCTTCATGTAATTCTTTTATGAAATAATAAGGCTTTAAATCTATTTGGTTGAGATTGGTATTATTCAGTTCATGTTCGTTCGTTTGCAGTCCGATTGAGCATGAGGCATGTAAAAATTTGATGCAAGTTCCAAAATCTTCTTCAACACTATTTAATAACTATTCAATTCATAATCAAGTTCAATTGTGCCGAACAATTTCTTGAATGGGATTAATTCAAACAAATTTTCTTATGAGCAAGATTAAACATGTTACATAATTTTCTATTAAACATTTTATGAATAAATACTTTTATTTTAATAAATAAAAAAATTATATTTTTAATAGTTTCATCATTAAAGATTATTTTAAAACAAGTTTTAATTTCAAATCCATCCATGAAATATTTATTTGTTGTTTTTATAATGAAGTATTTAAAAATATTTAAATAACATAAAATAATTCATCAAAATGTAAATAAAAATGTCAACAACCATGCATTGGTCGATCTCTCGGAAAACAAGCTTGTTACTACAATGTTACAACATTTATGAATTATGTACATGAATGAATAAGTGATTCACACTTTATCTTCCTTGTAAATAATCAGTGTTACAAATACCTTCTTTTCTAATTTATGAAATGTACACTTTTTTTTATAATTTGAATATCTTATATACTTGATTACGATTAATATGCAATGTAATATCCAACAATAAGGGATGCAAGATAAGTTTTAAAAATTACATAGATTGGATTTAATATGTAATATTATGTAATAATATAGCTGATAAATATTATTTTTAAGGAAAATAGTGATGAGTTATATGTATGATTAACTTTCTATCGAGGAGGAAAGTATAATTAATTGTGAAATTTATAGGTTGTATACAACAAAAATGACAGCACAAATCTCAAAGGGATCAAGCGACTAGGAATGGAGTCCTAGACCATCGAAGTCTTGTGCCAAAGAGCAAGATGTGGTCTGATCTATCGATTACACAACGAAATCGGTCAATTAACCTAGTGACTGAGTGACATCTAGCCGAAAGCGATCAGATAGGTTTGATAGATCGGATGGTCTCCTTGGAGGAAGCAATCTGATATATATGGTCGATCGAGATGGCCAATCAAAACCTAAACATTCAACGATTGATGGGCATTATATTTTCTTTGTATAATAATATAATTATTATTCGACAAACACATCGATTCAGTTATTTGGGCTATTATAATATATGTTCTCTCTTTTCTCTGTAACTTTAGGAGGACATGAAATAAATGAAAGACAAAAACATTTTATCTCTACTCTATCTTCCTCTCAACTATAACTCTCGAGGAGAAAATTCTCTCTCTCTACTCAATTCAACATCCTAAAAGGTGGTGTGGTGAGCGTGGACATGTCGCTGACTAGAAGTGGAGCACATTGAGAAGGAGAATCACAACAAAGAGACGCAACACCGATGGAGTTCACAAGTGAGTCAGTGCATCAAGAGATTAAGCAACAAATTTAGGAGTTGCAGGAGAAAATGCTGGGCCAATTTAAGGCCCTCTAAGAAATAATTACTTAAAGGAATAAACAACCACTGATTCTAGAGGTGTGGTCTTAGGGAGCTTTCCCTTAAGTACTACCCTCTGAGAATCCGCCAGTACTCAACGGTCGAATGAGCAATCGAGCGATCGAAGGGCAAGAAGATTCCCAAGGGTCAACATTGATGGTAAGGCAACGGTAGCGCGAGTCGAGGCTCCTATTCAGTTAGTGCTTTCACTCGATAAAACATGGAGTCAGTACCCTTGCCGAAGTTGAGGATTCCTCATATAGATCCTTGGAAGGGGAAGAACGATCTAACTGATCATGTTGCTTCTTTTGAATCATCAATAGGCGTGTTGCAGATCAATGTTGCGACGAAATGTCAACTTCACTTAACAACACTTAAGAAGTTAGCTCTTTGGTGGTTTCTCAATGTTTCAGTTGGTGTTATTCCAACCTTCGTTGAGTTTAAGAAACTCTTCGTGGCACACTTTGCCAAAGTGCAAAAGCTGAAGAAGAAGTCTCAGACTCTATTATAAATAAAAGAGAGAGGCAAAAAGCTTGCGAGCTTATAACACTCGATTCCACGAGGAGATGCTGGAAGTGAAGGAGTTGTAACCTCTAATTGCATAGATTGCTCTGGAGCAAGGAATTAGAGAAGGGCGATTCAAATACGACTTGAAATTGCTCGAACCAATGTCTTTTTCTGAGTTTTAAGAGATGGCCAACATCCAATTTGTTACCGAGGAGTCTCTTACGAACCACTATAGTGCCTAACTATAATGATTTGACCATCGATCAAAAGAGGAAGGCTCGAGATGAAGGAAATAAGCTGAAGGACAACCAAATCCCTACCGGTCGACCAAGCTATAAAAACAACAACTAAGGCTCCAGAAAAATTGTGGGGATGCTAAAGGAAACCAAGGTCAGAATTGATACTATTCATAGTGATTGTCTCAATGCTATGAGCAACCACTCGTGGATTGGAAAATGCAAGGCTTTACTCTATTGAATGTTTCAAAGGTTGAGTAAGTCCGAGCCATTCAAAATAAAGAATATTTCAGAAAAGCCCATCTAATGAAAGTCAGATCTACCCTCCGTAGTTTGCATAAATATTGTGATTACCATCGAGATCACGGACATAACACAAAAGAGTGTCATCACCTCCAAAACTTCATGGAAGAATTGATCAATGTAGAGAAGCTCAAAGAGTTAGTTATTGTCAAAGAACATTCTCGGTGACAGGGGAAAGCCCCAACTGAAGAACCGTTGGATGGACCTGTCCGAGAGAAAAAAGTTCACATAGCTGGAATCATTTTAACTATTTTTTTGGGGGAGGTGAAGAGTCATCCCCTCAGTCCAGCTAGAAGAAGCATCGATTGAGAGAGGTATGTTTTATCACTTCTAATAAAGATAAGCATCCTCCCATGGTTTTCAAAGATGTAGATCTTTTCCCAGAAGCAAACTTGTATAATGACACGATTTTCATTACTTCATTCTTCAACAACTACCAGGTGGGGTGTATCCGGATTGACACTAGAATTTCTATGCGGTGTTTTACATGAATGGGATCAAAACTAACTGGCTTACGACACCAACTAGTCCATTGTTTGGTTTCTCTATCGAAAGAAAAGAGGCTTTGGGTGTTATAGCTTCGACTATCTCCTGGGGTGAGTGAGATAAATAATTTACCAGTACAGAGGACTCTCTTGAGGTGGATTTCCCACCAACCTATATAGCTATTATTAACCAACCATTTTTGAATAATTACCAGATAGTAACTTCAACCTACCACATGGACGTAAAGTTTCCTGATGATGGAGAAATCATCATAATCTAAGGGAACTTGGAACAGCCAAGGAGCTGGTACCTTTGAATGATGACCAGCATGGATGACAAGCTCCTTGTCATTCAAATTCAAAGGGAAGGAGGTCTTAAGACCAATAAACCTATCCTCAAATTACCTACATCTAACAAATGAGAGTTTGGTAAGATTTTTCTAATATATGAAAACTTTGATGCAAGGTACAAAAATCTACTGATCCATATCCTTCGCGAGCATTAGAACATCTTTGCTTAGATAACGATGAAAGTGCCTAGAATCTCTATCAATGTTGCTTGTCATTGATTGAATATCAGCTCGACGGCTCAAGTGGTGAAGCAGAACATCTAATAAATTGCAAGAACTTTGGTCGAGCTAAGAGTGTTTGTGCAAAAGCTGAAGGAGGCTAGAAGATTTGAGTAATTGAGCATCCCTCCTTTTGAACAAGTGTTTTGAACACAGAGCATATCTTGAAACAAAATGCACATTTTCTTTGTCATCCTGTTAAGGAGAAAATTGAAGTAGATAGATATCTTGTTTGTTATAAATCGGAGACAATGTGTGGAATCTACTTCCTTCCAAAAGAAAGTGGTTCTCATTTAGTCTAATTTCTTTAGATTCATTTCCTTCTGCCACATTGATGTTATTTCTTTTCTTTCTTAAGGCAGAGTGACTTCTATTTTTCTGTTGGGTATGTGTTAATGGTACAGTCTTGGAGTTGGACCCAATTTCAAATGTGGATGTCGGATTGCATTCTTCTTCTTCTTTGAGGATAGTCTTTCCCTTGCGATCATTTTCATTAGTA